GGGTGCAGGCCGCTTTGTGCCGGCTGGGCTCGGGGGCAGGGCTGGGCGGATCGGGGAGCGGGGACCTGCGGGAGGCATCGATAACACGGCTCTCCCTTATCTAGATTTTGAGAAGAGGGGGAAGAAGGAAGTTTGTCCCGTCCTGGATCAGTTTCTTTGTCATGTCGCCAAGACTGGAGAAACAATGTGAGTTGAAAACGCGCTCGTCGTCCTAGGCCCGCTTGCCACTCGGAATTGCTTAGCGAAGGGGGAAAAGGTGTGTTTGGGAAGAATCAAGTAATGTAGGTGTGTAAATCGGAGAAGCCCTGGTCACCTAAAGAACGTAGCAAGCAAGTATAGTTCCACTCTGTGCGTGCTCCGCCCCGGGCTTCAGAAGATCCTTGACGTGCAGCTTTGCAGTGGGTCTGCCTTGGCATTCGTGGAGAACCGACTGGCCCGAAAGGACCAGAGAGAAAGACCGCCATGACCCCCTTCTGGCCGAAACAGGCGTGTTCTCCTTATTTTGTGACTTTGACTCTGTTTCAGTCTTTATTGGAGTTTTCTCGTACTGTCCTGTATCCAGTCTTTTGCTATTTGAAGTGTAACTTCTATTTATCGTCCTCAGGACTCAGGGTGATTATCTGACAAATTCCAGATGCTTAAGTTTTGACTGTCCTGTAAACTTTCTAAGATAGCTAACTTGTTACATATACTCAGCATTTTATTAGGCTTGTTTCCAAATGTTCTGAATCTGAAACCTACAAAGTTAGGGCTATTGTCAAAAGGAAAACTTTAGTTCATTTGTTTTGCAGTTTGTGTGGTAGGAGTTTTGACACTGGCTAAGTTAATTTGTTGAGGACAGGACATTTTTGGCATCTTTCCTATTCTTAGGGGAACATCAGAAAGGGGAAAAGTTTCTTTGGGTTCAGTATTAAGTGGGCTCTCTGCTTAGTTTGAGTGTATCCTTCAGAAGGGGTGCTGTATACTTTCTTTTTATTAGGTATTGTTCACGTCTCTCCAGATTTGCTTATGGTTGTAGCCCAGTTCTCCTAAGAACTAGCCTAATTTTAGAAAGGAAAAAGAATCTCTGAGGCAGTAATGTGTGAAAAAATACACAATGTAACCTAACATGACTGTAATGTGTTCAGACTTGTATTTCTACTTATCTTTAAATTATGGAACTCCCTAGTGAAAAAAAAAGCTGTATTTTAACCTCAGTTACAATCTTTTATAGAACATTATATTTTAAAAAATTAACACAGAAAGCTAATTACTATTATACAGATAAGCCTAAAAATGACTAAGTGCCATCTTTTGAAAATAAATTAATTCCTAGAATATAAATACTTACATTCCCTTGTTCCTTTTGAATCACTTATTGGTCCAAACTTATTTTTCTCTGTAATGTAAAGGAGAAACATTTTACTTTCAGGATTTTTTAAAATTTTATTTACTTTATCAGGTCTGTACAAACTGCCTTCTCTTTTTGATAAAATAACTTTTATCAATATATACATGTGTACAAATAGTTGAAACTTTCTGAAAGATAGTGATTTACTAGATCACTAAGTTGCTGGGGAAATTATCTGATTGGGGGCAGTTATGACAGAGGACTCATATACTCCTATTTCCGCCCTACATTAGGTATTGTATATTTACCAAGAGTGTTTATATTGAAATGACTGATGTTCTTATATTTGTATTCAAGTAGCCAGCATTTATACATTTAGCTTTAGTTCTTTTTTTTTTCCCTCCCCCCCCACCACACATGCCAGGCAAGTGCTCTATCACTGAACTATCCCTGTAGTCCCAAACAGTGCTTTTTAATTTAGTTTTATTTTTGTGGGATGCTGGAGCTCCATAATGGGGCTTTGGGTGTGCTAGGTCAATACTCCACCACTGAGCTACATCCCAGCCTGATTTCCTTTTTTCATAAATATGGGTGTACCTTAAATTTTGATGCTGCAATTTGCAGTTTCTCTTTCATTTGTTTATTTTATTTCACCTTTTTAATTAGTTTTTTAAAATTTGTTCTGGGGATCAAACCCAGGACCTCATGCATGCCAGGCAAATGCTCTACTACTGAGCCACATTCCCAGTCCCTCTTTCATTTGTTTATGATGACAACAAGCTTTGTCTAGTTTGTAAATATTGCAGCAGAAGAGTGGAAATCTGAAGAAAACTATGAAGATCTCTTGGATGTTTTAAGATGGATAGGTTGCTGAAGAATCCCAAGAAAACATTAACGAGAAAAGTTTGTGAAACGGTTTTTACATGAAAACCTTTGACAGAGCTGGGGTTGTGGCTCAGCAGTAGAGCGCTTGCCTAGCACCTTGGAGCCCCTGGGTTCCATCCTCAGCACCACATAAAAATAAACAAAATAAAACTGTTGTGTCCAACTAAAAAACACATATTAAAAAAAAAATCTGACAGCAAAGATGGTTTTCCTTTTAAAAAAATAATTGATCACACACTTAACTTTTTAGCTTTACACAGTTTTTAGAATTATGGGTATAGACTTTGTACTAAGGAAGGCATTGGAGGGAAATTAAGGAACATTGAACACTCTGTCTCCTTAGTCTATTAAAATTACTTGAAAACATCTAATGTAGGAAGTTAGGGAAGATTGCCAGGACCACTTCTTCAGACTTTTTGCATTGGAAAGATCACTTTTGAAAATGGACGTTTTCTTGGGGATGGGGATGTGGCTCAAGCGGTAGCGCGCTCACCTGGCATGCGTGCGCCCGGGTTCGATCCTCAGCACCACATACAAACACAGATGTTGTGTCCGCCGAGAACTAAAAAAAATAAATTAAAAAAAAAGAAAATGGACATTTCTTGAGTGAAGCTTATTTTTCTGGAGTTAACAGTTTTCAACAACACTCAGTATATATGCTGTGTAAATAAATACAAATGTGGGTTTCACTCATGCAGTTAAAGGTATTTGATGCATTTGAGTCTCATTGTTATCCAATTTGATGGTCCCAGATTGTCTTCCACGTGACCAGTGGCAGCCTCTTCCAGTATGCTCCAGTGTCCTTTTCACATGACTCTAGTAGTCTTAGTTGGCACCTTGTTGTCTGGCTTGGAAATCTTTTCTAACCTCACTTCTTGCCCCAGACCTGGCATCAGCCATTTTTCAAGAAGCCCTGCTTTCTTTAGTGGGAAGTGGTGTTGAAAACTATAATCTTGGGGTTGGAGATGCTTATTACTCAGTTGGTTGTTGTTTCTAGCCTCTTCGTTGAACAGAGCTAGATAAAAATACTTTACTGAGACTTGTAGTTCAAAATCTGTACTGCAGAATTTTTCTTCCACACCAGAGATCCTGTTTTTCAAGGATATCCTATAATTATTTTTATCTAGCATTGCACAGCAGAAAATATAAGAATGCTACATTGCTGCTAGCACAATAACATTATTTTTTTTAACCTAAACTCACCTAATTTCTATTCTCCATTTTAAAAAAGGTAGTTGTATCTGCATTGTCTGAGCACATTGCTGTAATGTAACTCGGCTGTTTTTTTTAGTCAGTTTTATAATAGTTATATTTGATGTTTAATGGTGAGTACTTACACCAGTGTCTGTAGTCAGTTTGGTTATCTGAAGCTTACTCTGTACTAGATTTGTTTTTAGGGTGTGGGGGCGATGTTGGGTATTGAACCCAGGACCTGCACTTCATGCTTTGGTAGCACTGATCATCACTTCAGCCTCCTCTGGCACATTCTTGCCACAGGGCTCGTGGGGATAGTGTTTCCTGAGTTCTTGTATATATGTTTGGGCCTTTACTCTTGAAGGTTATATTTTGGCTGGAAATCAAGTCGGCTCACATTTTCTGTCCTTGAATATCTTAAAACATGTTATTTCCATTGTTCCCCCCTATTAACTTAGTATTACTGTTAAAATCTGATTGCATTTTAATATTTTTTACCTTATAAACCATCTGTTCTTTTTACTTTGCTTCCTAAAGGATTTTTTAAATTTAAAGTGCAGTGGTTTTTTCCTAGCATATTTTAACATTTTATTGTTTTAAAGATTAAAAAAAAAAAAGTGTCGCAGGGGCTGGGATTGTGGCTCAGAGGTAGAGCGCTCATCTAGCACATCTGAGGCCCTGGGTTCAATCCTCAGCACCACATAAAAATACACAAACAAAATAAACATTTTGGTTTAGTATAATCAAAGAATGTGGTGTGCTCTTTCAATATGTATTTTTAAATTGTTCAAAAAAAATTTTAAAGCATTTCAGGAAAGTGATTCTTGAATTATTTTCTTTGGTTTTCTTTTTAAGGGATTACTTTTCCTATATTGAATTTTCAGTGCATTTCTTCAGTATTTGTCATTTTTTCTTGAAGTCTTTATTTTTTTTTAAAACAGCATTATTGAGGTCTGATTGACATATCTGTTGCATCTATACATTCACCATTTGATAGCATTTGGATTATTTCCAATTTTCTTATTATAAATGTCTTTGTGTGAACTTAATACTTTTTTCTACTGAATAAACACTGAGGTGTGGAAGGCAGGATCATACTCTAGGTGTGTGTTTAACTTTCTTCATAAAGTGCCAAACTTTTCCACGGTAGTTACAGCTGTTTACATTCCCACCAGCATTAAGGGAGTTGAGCGTCTTTATATCTTTTCAATACTATAGTCGCAGTGGTGGTGGTGGTTGCAGGAGTCTCAAGCATGCTGGTGTGGTCAGTGTTTTTCACTTTGGCCATGCTGCTGAATGCATATTACATAATGGTTTTAATTTGCATTTCCCCAATGCCTGATGATAGTTGAGCATCTTTTCACATGTTTATTGTTAAAAATCTTTGACCATTTTGAAATTGAGTTGTTTTATATTGAGTTTTTAGAGTTCTTTATCCCAGAAGAAAGTCTTTTTTATCCATGCTTTGCAAATGTTCTACTGTTTCATGGTTGTCTTTTCATTCTCTTGTTTGTCAAAGAGAAGATTTTCACTTAATTCTACTTCAGATTTTAAGAATTTCCTTCTTTGAAAGACTACATTATAAGTGTGTTGTTCATTTGTGCTTATATACTTCCTAGTTTAGTTTTTATTTTAGAAGTAATTTTTTTTTCTTTCCTGAATTCTTTCACTTTTTCTGAGTTTCTTTAACTGACTTTTGTTGTCTTGTGTCGTTCTTGGTGCCTTAGTTCACTTTGAAGTGATATGATGCAATTTTGATTCATTTTGAACAAGGCTT